CAACAAGTAGTTCAGCAAAACAAAGGGAAAAAGAAACAAGAAAGGAGACTGAAACATTAGCGAAGCACACTTTAAATATGCAAACTCAGAACTTGCAATGCAGATTACTAAATACCTATGGCTTACACGTAAGAGTTATTTGCTATAAATAAAACATCAAAAACCATGAACACGTTTTACATTTGGTAAACATCAAACAATTTTCATTTGCTAAACATCAAACATTGGTCAGCAAAAATGTCTGCATTAAACTCAGAACACAGAACCAAAATATCTTCTACAACAAAAAGCTAATCATCAAACCAAGCTAAAAATGAAAAAATATCTGAGCTAATGTAAGACATGAATGAACACCAAAAAATTATACAACCACACTTATAAGCTCACAACCAGTAATTCGACATTAACTAATCATGCTCAGAAAAACCAATACAATCAAATGCTAAGAAGATGAAGAAAAAACGAAATTACCTTAAGAAATATCTCATCTTTTTCTTCAACCGTGAGGGAACGGTGTGTTGATTGCTGAGAAGAATTTTCTTAACTTTGAGGACCATTCACATCCATTTGAGACATTATCTCTTCGAGATTCTTCTTATAAGTTTCAGCCACTCTTTTAGCCTTTAGATCAACAAAACTCCCGTTAGCTCTTGTCTGTGTTTTCATAAAAACTTCTCCAAGCGTTACTGGACGACCCAATTCTTCCTCCTATAATGATATAAACACAGATGAATCAATGCAAAAAAAGTTTTATTAACAATCAATGCAAAAAAAAAATTTACCATGTCTTGCTGAATTGTCAAGTACGATTTTTGGCCAGAAACGTGTTTATGTGATCCAAGACCACCACGGTTAGAGTTACAGGACTGCGATGCTGTGGTGCTCCTCTCTACTGAATCTGGAGTCTGCCACTTCTCACACATTTTCGTCCAAAGTGTTGGGCCAATCCATGGAGGTCTCTCTCCTTTCTTCCTAACTTGATTAATGATTCCTTTCATCCTTTCTTTGGCTCTCTTCAAGAATTCTTCTCTCACCGTCTTGGTAATAGCTCTATCCCAATTGTACTTTGCCTACATATACAATACAATATTTGGAAGTATAACACAAAACAAATTATTACTATGTAAATAGAAAACAATACAAACTATATCCAACATTACCGCAAATGTTCTCAAGTTCTTGAACATCTATAAGGGTAACCAACCAGCTATAATAAGCCCCATCAAACTTTCTTCGAAAGATTCCAGCAATGACCCGAGACAATTTTCCACTGCCTCGGTTAAACCTGTTACATGAGCAAACATTGAAATGAAAATAAAGAAATGAATTTAAGAAATGTCAACTAAAAGCTATATCAGAACACGGCAAGGAAACAATTCATCAAATTCAATCACAATTCTTAAACACAAAATGTTAATTTAATTTGGAATATACCATGTTGTCTCTTTGCCTGGATACGATGCTCACTTAAGACTGGGAGATGCTCTCGGCCAGGAAGAGCCAACAACGCATCTAACATTGCATCATAATCTTGTTGTTGCTCGGGAATCTGCTCAGCCGCCTGTTGTGGGTTGGGAATTTGCTGATTGTGAAGAATCGGAACTTCCTCAGAATGAGCCGGCTTATGCTGTTGCTGAAGAGGAGCCAGAGGATGGTGAAGAGGCGCCGGCGGATGGTGCTGGTGATGTTCATAAATAGGAGCCGGCGGATGTTGTGCATAGAGAGGAGCTGGCGGTGGTTGTTTTAAAATATGTGATATTCATTTTTTTTCACTTCTCTGAATATCTAATGTATTGATTAGTTGTTGTAATCAACTCTAAAATGTTAAACATATCATATTCACAATTCAGTTTTGTGGTTTTCCTTTTTAAAAACTTTGAGCGTCACTAAGTAGTAGCTAATTAGTCTCAGATTCAGGTGTTGGTCGCTAAATTATCAATCTGTAGTCGCAAATTAGTCGGTGTTTAAGACGCTTTTGTGACTCCTTCCTAAAATTCGAAGAAACTGTTTAAACGGAGTTTCGAACCCCCAACCTATTATTTATATTCAAGACTCGTAACCAATAAGCTACCCTGATAATTCATGAATTTTATTTAATGAAATGGATTAGATATGCATGCTAATCATATTACAAAGATAGAAATTACATTAATTAGAGTATTATTCATATTTATCATCATCATCATCTGAAGTTGATAAGTTACAAAGAAATTCGTCTTCTGCATTAGCGTCTTCGATTTCATAATCAATTGCATTGAAAGGTTGAATATCCTCTACTAAACTATCAACTTCGATTTCTTTAATCTGACCCATTAGGTCGTCATCAACTGTTTGGTTCAAAACAACCACCTCCTTCTCATTAAATTTTCCTTGAACAACTTGTCGTGGATTTACTTTTAGAACCGTGAGCCACACTTTGCAAGGTCGTTTAGTGTATGGATATGAAAGATAACAAACTTGATCATCTTGAGATCCTCTGCATGCATAAAGTATAAATAAAATCAGAAGTATAAATATTCACACCTATATATGTAATTAGTCAATTGTAACAAGAAATACCTAAAATAAATGGTTCGTAATTTTGATGTCTCCTTGATGAGAAGATGTCAACAATGCCTCCTTCTCGCAATCGGGCGCCTTTACCAATTGTAGGGTTAAACCATTCACAGTAGAAAAGAGTGATCTTCAAATTTAGAAATCCTCGATACTCGAACTCTATGATGTTTTCATAAAAATCATCCTCATCAGTTGCTTCAGAATCCTTTTGTCCTCGCACACATACCACATAATTCATTGTTCTTTTTGTAAGCCCGTGATTACGCGTATGAAACAAATACCCTCTCGTAAAATACATGGGTCACGAGGTGACTTTATTTTCAGGACCTTCCACTATTTCATGAACCCAATGAGGAAACTTTTCATGGCTTTTCATTGCATTCACCTGTATACAAGAGAATATATTAAAAATAAAAACAATTTTATTCAATAATAAATAGTTGTATAGTAATTACATACATATTGGCGAATCCAGGTAGGAAAATCTTCATCTTTTTTCGACATCACCTCATCATCAGAGAGTTCTGGATTTTCAAATCGAATTTGCGGTTCCAACATTCTGTGAGTTTAGCCAAACAAAACAAATGTAACTAATTTTTTCATAAAATAATTAAATCAAACAATTGCAATAATGAACTACATATAAAGTACCCCTCAAACGGCAGAAAGTAGTCACAATTTCGCAAGATATATGCATGTGCGCATTTATAATCTTTCTCTGTCAACCAAAATTCACTACTTTGGCCACTTGGACGACCTACTTGAGTGAATATATCCGGCATGGGTATAGAATATACGGGTACTTCACCTTCATCATACCGACTTGACCTGAAAAATTAATGATTTAGCTTTTGACTAAACCCTGAAATCAAAATTAAATTATTACTTAATTATTAGCTAAGTTATACCTTCTTCTCCTAGCTGTAGAAATGGGTGAAGCGAAGTAGTGTTCTGAGAAGTAAGATATTTCATCATTTATGTATGATTGAACTATTGAACCCGCTGGATATCTTTTATTCTTCGCCTTGCCTTTTAAACGTTTGAAAAACCTTTCAAAGGGATACATCCACATATATTGCATAGGACCACCAAGCTCCACCTCATAATGTAGGTGTATTGGTAGGTGCTCCATCACGTCAAAGAATGAAGGTGGAAAGATTTTTTCCAAATTACATAAAATCATGACAATGTTATCCTTTAAAATGTGGAGCCGAGTTTGATCTAATGATATACTACTTAAGTCACGGAAAACACTCCAATCCCTACAAAATACAATACTAAAATGTTAATATATTTATGATCAATATTATAAAAATATATGAAAGCTTACCACTATGCTTTGGTTAATGTATACCTGATAATGCAAGATGAACGCTATGTGGTAGAAGTTCTGCAAAGATAAACGGAAGCAGTTGCTCCACAAATACATGTCCATCATGAGTTTTCATTCCTGAAAGCTTACCACCATCGATGTCTGCACAACTAGCTAAATCAGCTACATAGCCATCAGGAAATTTAACCTTATGTTTGACCCATTGTAGCAAGCTTTCTTTCACTTTTGTAGACAATCTCCAAATAGGAAATGGAGCTCTACCTCAGTCATCTAGATGCAATTCTTTCCGAGAACAAAATCTTTCAATATCTAATCTTGATTTAACTGTATCTTTTGATCTGTCTTTAACATTCATCACAGTGTACATGATGTTATCAAATAAGTTTTTCTCGATATGCATCACATCAAGATTGTGTCATAGCGTTAGATCGGTCCAGTACGGTAGCTTCCAAAATATGCTTTCTTTATTCCAATTATGCCATTCTCCATAGCCGTTCACTTTATTTTCATGACCATTTCCACCACAATTTGTTGTTTTAGGTAGTTCAGCATGCCTAATACGCTCGTATAAAACTTGTTCGCCCGTTAAAGATTGAGGTGGATAATCTTAATCCATGCTTTCCCTTCAGAAATTTTTGTTTATTCTTCCATAACGGATGGCTTACAGGAAGAAATCTTCTGTGACAGTCGAACCAACATTTCTTCCCACCGGCTGGAAGAGAAAATGCATTTGTCTCATCCATACAAATAGGACATGATAGTCTTCCATGTGTCGTCCAACCCGATAATATACCATATGCTGGAAAATCACTTATAGTCCATAATAGAACAGCTTTCAGATTGAAATTTTGATTTAATGACACATCATATGTCTGAACTCTGTTATACCATAACTCCTTTAACTCGTCGATCAGTGGTTGGAGGAAAACATCAAGACTGGCTCGTGGATTATTTGGTCCCAAATTCAAAATCGTGAGAAACAAATACTCGGTACTCATGCACATATATGGCGGTAAGTTGTATGGCATCATGATCACAGGCCATAATGAGTATTTTTTGACATACCAAAAAGATTAAAACCGTCGGTACATAACCCAAGATGAACATTTCGTTATTCTTCAGCAAATATAGGCTGCAATTGTTGGAAATTCTTCCACTCTGCTGCATCAGATGGATGACACATTACTCCGTCTTCTGACTCATGCTCAGCATGCCATCTCATCAATGCTGCAGTTTTCTCTGATTGGTACAATCTCTTCAACCTATCAGAAATAGGTAAATACCACATTCGACTGAATGGGATTTTTGTTCGACCCTCACTATCCTTATATCTTGGTTTGCCACAAAACTTGCAATGCTCCAACTTCTCATTGTCTTTCCAAAAGAGCAAACAATTATCTATACATACATCAAATGTATGGTACGGCAATCCTAATTTTCGCATCAAAGTTTCTATCTCGTAGTACAAACTAGGTGCTTGATTAGCCTCCAGTAAATACTCTGTAAACAATTCAGACCATGAGTCCATGCAGCTTTCAGCTATATTATGGTCTGCCTTAATGTTCATGAATCGAGCTGCTAAAGACAACTTTGAATGACCTTCGCGACAACCATCATAAAGTGAAGTATTTGCAGCATCTAACATGTCATAAAACCGTTTTGCCTCTTGTGTAGGTTCTTCATGAACAGGTTCTTCATGAATATGATCATATCCACTTCGATGTTCATGGTATTCATGATGATTAAATGGGGTAGTACCATAAAATGTATCATTCACCATCCCAACATATACATTTCCTCTATCAAATGTTGGTGGTTGATTATCACTAGTAAAATCTACATTAGCATAATGACTATTTGTACCTCCGCTACCGACATCATAATCTTCACCATGTTCCGACCATACATAATATTCTGGCATAAATCCTATACTCTGCAAATGCTTTGAAATTGTATTTCCTGGTAAGAATTTATTATTTTTACATTTCAAAAAAGAACAGTAAAATCTACCTCCACTACTTTGTGAGAGTGGCTGGCTATTAGCAAAATTCATGAATTGCTCTAACCCTGCCAATAACTCAGTTAATATATTATTTGTGTGTGGATGAATTCTGTTATACATCCATCCTCGTGACTGATTCCACATTGGTTTCTGATGGGACTTTTTTGTTTTGGTTTTTTTTATTAAATATTTTCTTTTCTTTTTTTGGAGGCACAAATAATTTTAGTTTAATAGCAATGGAGAACAAATCTTATATAGGTAAATTTAACTAAAAGATGGGTTTTTCAAAGCCCAATGATATATTTTCCATTTGGAGTGTATCACTATTTATAGTACATGTTGACCTTGACTTTCATTCTTTTCTGTCGATGTGGGACAATTACCAATTCCACACACATACTTTATTTACCGACTACTTTGAGACGAAACAATGACAGCAGAAAAACGTCGCCAAATAGTCGCATTTGCGACAACTTAGCGACTATATTTCCCGACTAATTTTATAGTCGCCATGTAGTCGTACTTTGACACTAATTTGCGACTAAAGTTAAGTAGTGAAAAGTTAGTCACGTAATTAGCAACTACGTACCGACGAATACCTTTCGTCGTCAATTACCAACTAATTTGTGTCTGCATAAACGGTAGTCGCGTATTTTTCGCAATGTAGTTACAAATTAGTCGCAGTTATTTACGACCATAAATGTGGTCGCAAACTGTAGTCACAAAAACTGTGTTTTCTTATAGTGAAAATGAGCTTTTTGAGGCATCATTAAGCTTGATAGGATTCCTAATACTACACTTTCCCAACTTCCTTCAATATTTCTCTTGAGTGACTGAAAACTATGTTGTTCCTCCCTCTCCGGTGTTTTTGAACATTTCTGTCGAAACAAACTAAAAAGAGAATGCATGAGGTTCGAACATAAAGTTTTTGGTTAAGGGTGTGGTACTACCTAAAGATGAATTGGCCATCTAGGACAACAAAGAGTAGTGGCAATGAGCTAAATGAGCTAAAGATGTCTTAGATGTGTATCATGATGTCTGCCTAAAACCAATGATAAGAAAGTTAGATGTCAAGATTAAGTTCAAGTAAAATGAGCTAGTATATTCTGTCAGAAAAGATCTCATAGAAATCCTCTGGTATGAGTTCGTAGTGCAAGTACTCTAGCTACCGCCTAGTCTAGTACTAACCACAAAAAGAAATATCATGTAAAGTCTAGAAGCACATGGGTCTTACTCATCATAGTTTTTAGGGTTGTTTTGAAAATATGGACGTTTTTAAGTTTTAATTTGAGAAAAGGGTAGCTTTATGTTTTAATTAGTCAGGGTAGGGATATACTTTCATAATGCCAAACTTACCCTTGTTTCTGAGAGAGAGAGAGAGAGACAGAGAAATCTGTCCCTTAGAGAGATACGGACGCAGAAAATACCGTGGGTCCCATGAGTAGTCTGTGTCCGCGCGTGTAACAGCCGGGAAGAGAGCAACTCACGCGCGTGATTGGGTCGTTTTTTGGGCCTGATTTTGAATTTCGGAATGAAATTTTTAAAAACCACCTGACTGGGCCTCGGAAACTACCCAACTCATTAGACGCAAAACTACCCTTCCCATTCTCCTTTATTTTTGGCGGGAAAAATTGTGGTTAATTAGAGATAATGGAGATAAATTGGTTAAAATAAGAAACAAAGTACCCTAACCAAATTAGAAACCCTAGTTTCCCTTTCCAGAAGATGTTGAAATTGAAGGGAAAATTATGCGATGATCAAGAGGACAATAACCACGATTAGTTAGTTAATCCTATTATTGTACACCCATAGATTTGTCATTGTTATTTTCAAATTTTTTCTTTCTGGTGTTCGCTATTTGCCAGTAGTTTTTTAGATATGGTGTTCGCGATTAGCAGTGGTTGCGTTCATTCTCGTTATGGCGAGAACGTGGATAAGGTACTATACAGGAGATTGGGATTTCAAAATGGACATATCTCGTCGTGGAAAGTGCATAAATTGCAAAGATGTGTCCGGACCAGATGATTTGAGAAAACTGATTGCGCATGAGTTCGGATTAGACCCGAGAGTTGTTTCGGTGGAGATTTCCTACTGGTTTGATGATGTTCTAGCTGAGCTTAATGGTGATGGGAGTTGTCCATGTGTGATAGTTACTCCTCGAGAGTACAAATTCTTCCTTTCGCTGCATAAGTCTGATAAGTCTGTGAATTTATTTTTCACATTCAAGAAGTCAGTAAATGGTAAAATGGTGAGATTGAAACGGAAGGAAAGTCTTGAAGTTCAAATTGCTAGGGAACGGCGAAAGTCCTTAGGGCCAACAAACTTCATAGCCTCTTCTTCGGCAGAGTAGTCAACCCGATGATGAAGCAGATGATGAAGATATCGATGATTGTTTGCTGATAGCACATGCCGAGAAAGTAGAGGCAGAGGCCGCAATGAACACCTCCAAAGGTGTACAACCTGAATCTGTCTCTGTAATCCATCCTGCGTTGGGATTAGAAATGTCCCAGGAATCAGAGAAAATAGAGGCTAAGGCCACCACTAACACCTCCGTAATGTAAAACCTGATGTTCCAAGTCACGCTGTCTCTGTTGAACACCCTGAGTTGGAATTAAAAATGTCACATGAATCAGACGAGGTGAGAGATTCGGAAGAGAAGGAAGCTGATGATGTTGACGATGACGCATACGGATCTGATGATGATTATGATCTGGATTATGATTTTGACTGGTGGAATGATTATGTACTAGGAGATGGTAAGGTTTTCCATTCTAAACCTGGATTTGATGAGGATAAGGATGAGTCTGGTAGTTCAGGGCTTGTGGAAGTAGTCGCGAAGTGAGCCGAGTGATTCAAACCAAATGGACTACTCCATTGTCTTAACGGAGAGTCCTAATCATTTTCCTGGAAGAAAGAGGACTGTATGTGAGAAGGTTCTGGCTCCTCATGGAGATGATGATGATTTTGTGGAGACTCCGACAGGTGATGTCGTTTGGAGGCGTCAGAATGGCGGTGCAGATCTGAAGAAAGCGATTAAACGTACATAACTATATGGATTTCCAGATGTGGCACCAGTCTCTGATGATATGGAAGGGGATTTCAATGAACTTGATTTGTCAAATGAAGATGGAGAGATATGGGTTGGGAAAAAGTTCAGGAACAAGGAACACTTTAAAATCACGTTGGCCATCAATGCGCTGAAGAATGTAGTGACGTTCGAATTCAAAAAGCATGCGAAGAAGTACACAGTCGCCGAATTTCCAGCAAAGATATGTGATTGGAGGGTGTTGGGGTGTCAAGTTGGCGACTCTGCGTTGTATGAGGTGAGGAAGGCGTGCTTGAAGCATACATGCCACCCGGATACAAGAAACAAATTTTCTAAGCCTACGACTTCTAAAGTCATGGCGGCTCTGCTGAAGTCTAAGTACGAGAATGCAATAGTTGGTCCACGTGCGAGTGAGCTACCTGCGATTGTTCTCTCCGAATATAATATTACAGCCTCGTACTGGAAATGCTGGAAAGCTAAGGAGCTGGCTATATACTCTGCTCATGGAACAGAGGAGACTTCTTTCAAATTTTACCGATTTACCTCCATGTGCTCAAGTATGCTAACCCCGGCACCATAACGCATTTGTCAACCGAGAGAGATGAAAAAGATGGAAAATGTATGACCAGGTTTAAGTCCGTATTTATGGCATTGGCTGCGTGTATATCTGGATGGAAACATGTGAAACCGGTAGTTGTTGTTGATGGGACTCACCTGACTGGTAAGTATAAGGGTTGTCTATTAACGGCCAGTGGACAAGATTCTAATTACCAGGTTTTTCCAATAGCGTTCGCCGTTGTCGATGCAGAGTCTGACCAGACATGGAGGTGGTTTTTTGAGAAGTTGGTAGACATTATTCCAGATTCCTCTGATCTTACTATCATCTCGAATAGGCACGGTGGAATTGCCAAAGCTAAAAAGAAATGGTATCCACAGTCACACCACGGTGCATGTCTTGTCCATATCCAGAGAAATGTTCACGGTAAATACAAAGGTTCCGGTCAGAAAGGGTTGGTCGGAAAGGCTGGAAAAGCGTTCACAGTTTCTAATTTCAAGAAACTATACGCAAGGCTGAAGGATGTTGATTATCGTTGTTGGGAGTACATGGAAAAAATCTCTCTTGCGTTGTGGACTAGATCACACTTTTCTGGTCAGAGGTATAATATGACCTCCAGTAACATTGCGGAGTCTCTGAACAATGCACTATTTGCAGCAAGAGACAGTCCAATCGTTGCAATGCTAGAATTTATCAGGCGAATGTTAAGTAGGTGGCTTGAATGCAGAAGAGAGAAAATTCAAAAGATGGATGGTGACATTCCAGAAGAAGTTGACAAGTTAATGAACCTGCAGCTTGAAAAATCTGCTGCACTATCGGTTCAAGGCATTTCTTTGTGAGAGGTTGAAGTCAGTTCTGAGTTTGGTGTACGGCGGCATGTTGATCTCCTAAACAAAACTTGCTCATGTCTAGAGTTTCAGACATTGAAATACCCTTGCCGACATGCAATGGCCGCGGCTAGGCTTCGTCAAGTGGAGTACAGCAGTTTGGTTGATCCAATTCTTAAGAAATCAATTTGGAGTGCAACAGTTTGTGGCAAAATCCTATCAGTGCCCGACCTTGACGACATTTGTATCCCAGCTGAGGTGCGTGACCTGAATATTATGCCACCTAAGTCAAAACGTCAACCAGGAAGGCCTACGACGAAGAGAAAACTTTCAGCAGGAGAGTATCCTCAGGTTAGTGTACACTAAACAATTATTTTTCCCCAGTCATACTGATTACTGATTACTGATATACGCTGTTGCAGGTTGCGAAAAAAAGAAGCCAAACAAATGCTCGAGACGTGGAAATCCCGGCCATAACCGGGCAAAATGC